CAATGATATGAAATACTAGCTATGAGCTGGTCACACATGACCCTCAAATAACCTAACATACTGCAACAAATACACGTCAGAAATTTATAGTATAGAGCTTGTTAAATGAATAAGACTATAAGAAGTATGGTTAGAACGTCTCAAATGAATCTATGCGTTTATGCAATGATATGAAATACTAGCTATGAGCTGGTCACACATGACCCTCAAATAACCTAACATACTGCAACAAATACACGTCAGAAATTTATAGTATAGAGCTTGTTAAATGAATAAGACTATAAGAAGTATGGTTAGAACGTCTCAAATGAATCTATGCGTTTATGCAATGATATGAAATACTAGCTATGAGCTGGTCACACATGACCCTCAAATAACCTAACATACTGCAACAAATACACGTCAGAAATTTATAGTATAGAGCTTGTTAAATGAATAAGACTATAAGAAGTATGGTTAGAACGTCTCAGATGATTCTATGCATTTATGCAGTGATATGAAATGGTGACTATGAGTCACACATGACCCTCAAATAACCTAATATGCTGCAACAAATACGCGTCAGAAATTTATAGAGTGCATACAGCTATGTACCTATTCAATTCGGCAGCAGCCAATTCAGACAATTTATCAAAATTAATCTCTGTATCATGGACCGGTAACAAAAGGTGAATTTTACACCTGAATCTACTCAACGCGATTACCATCGCGCATTTTAAAAGCCATTATCGATAGCCGAGCGATCTGATGCGTTATGGTCGATTTTTGTTCGCCACAATGGCGCGAACCGCAAATACGCGGAGCGCTTTTTTGCAAGGATCGAAAAACTGCGTGCGGTTTTCCCAGGTGTCATCGAGTCTGGAGAGGGTGGTGCACCGTCGAACGCTAATTGACAAACCGAATAATGGCCGTAATTTCTGGACACGAGCCGCTTAATTACTCGCGTAATTAATCGGCGCGAGAGAGCAAGGATTGTGACTGTTGGGATCAGAAATTTTTGGGTTCGTGATAATTTTATCGAGAATTATTTCATAAACTTTTTCTTTAAGCTAGATAAAGTCAGACTAGATTCGAAACACTTGTAATCGTGTGATGACATAAAAGTGTCGCACAGTTATGATACATCGATATCAAGCTTAAGGTTTGAATAAAATGACATAATCGTTTCGTCGATATTCTTAAGGTACTGCTTCTTCGTTGAACCAACAAGATGAACAAATAAGATGAACCTGTCTCTTGAACAAATACGATAAAGATCGATTTTTAACAGTACCGATAAAACGCTTATACATATATTTTTATATTCTGGACTTTAAGCTTTAAATTGATATACTAACAACCATTTTCAGCTACTTTTATGTCATCAAATCACAATGGACTGGTCATTGTTTACTGGCAGTCAGCCATTTTAAGAACATCCATAAAACGTTTATGCGGTATTTTTCCCCGGACATTAAATTGATGTATAATTTAGTGACACTTTTACGCTCCGAAACTGTGTCGGACTGTCTCGGTGGCGAAACCAGGCGTTTAATATGCAACACTTAATATTTCATTTGGAACGTGATAAATCGAAATAAAGTGTGCCGTGAGGAAGACAAGATCCGTTTAATTTCCTGTCCCATTACATCCTGGAAAGCCTCGAATCAAGGATTCCGAACACGTCGTCCGTTAGATCGTTTGAAGCGTCGCTGCGCGAGAGCGTCGCTAATAGCTATAATGAATGTAATTAATTAGTATACGTTAGCATGTAGAACCCGTGTTCCGAGTGCATGAAGCTTCAGGTATTTGTACCGTTCTTGATAGTGATTACAATTTTCCCTGACAAATTAAGGCGACAACCTAGAGAAACGGTGCTGACGTTTAAAACACACTTTGTCATACAAACGTGCGAGGAAAATTTACAGAGATCGTTCCTCTCGACCCTTTCATGATCACGGACATATTTTATTAAGGAGAATATTCCAAATTTAGGATAGTAAACCTATTGTCGGATATTTTATACATGTATTAACATAAATTTTATAATTTTGTGAAGATCACGAAGGAAGGCACGATGAGTATTGATAGCGGATCTTTCACAGGGTGAACGTTGAGAGACGCGTGCAAAAAGGAGGGTGGTAAAAACATTTTTGCAAGCAATAAACGTCACTCCGGTTCTCGCGGGAACGTCATAAAGGCGGAGTACGACAATCTACGTCGATACGGGCCAATCAATTTTGCCTGCGGCCTGCCTGGTACTTTTTGATTTTCCATCGTTCCCGGACGGGGGGCCATTATCCTCCTCGCTACGGATTTAGCCAAACGGCCGTAAAAATTCCGTCACGCGATTTCCATGATCCCCTTTCGAAAAATGAAACGAATAAAAGAATACAGAATCGAGGGACCATGAGAAAAATAGAAGAAAAACATCCTCGGATAAAAACGACGACAGCTTGATGACTGTGCAAATATTCTAATTTTGTGACACGTCGTATTGCATCTCCCACGATCGAGAAAACACAATTTATATGGGATGTTAATACTTTACCCAGTTGTGTAATTTGACACATATCACAGGGAGGATGAAGCCACAGCTGATACCCTGGGATCGAACATGTTAAATTTAAACTACGCGTTCGACATGGCCATAAATTTGAACAGACACCGAATACAGATGTATCAATATCGCAAAAACTTCTATCGGGAAATTTACTACGATTTGAATCGTGCTTAGAACATGTGGAACATCATTTGAAATTCTGAAGAAATAAAATAAACCTTCACTAGCGAGCGAAGGTCCCATCTCGATTTGGATAAAAATAAACAATTAAAGTAGACTCCGTTGTTATACGATTCCGAACTTCTATCGAGAGAAATGTAGAATTTATTACTATTTGAATATTAGTGCTTAGAACACGAAGAACATAATTTGAAACTCTGAAGAAATAAAATAAACCTTCACTAGCGAGCGAAGGTCCCATCTCGATTTGGATAAAAATAAAAAATTAAAGTAGACTGCGTTGTTCAACGACTCCGAACTTCTATCGAGAGAAATGTAAAATTTATTACTATTTGAATATTCGTGCTTAGAACACGAAGAACATAATTTGAAACTCTGAAGAAATAAAATAAACCTTCACTAGCGAGCGAAGGTCCCATCTCGATTTGGATAAAAATAAAAAATTAAAGTAGACTGCGTTGTTCAACGATTCCGAACTTCTATCGAGAGAAATGTAGAATTTATTACTATTTGAATATTAGTGCTTAGAACACGTAGAACATAATTTGAAACTCTGAAGAAATAAAATAAACTAATTTCAAGAAGGTCCATCTCGATAAAAATACAAAATTAAAACAGACTCTGTTGTTCAACGATTCCTAAACGCCCGGAGAGTGTAGCAACCCCTAATAACACCCCACCAAAGAGACGAATGGTGGAAGTTATAATTGCGGCCCATGCTGCATATGTTAGTTCGTTGCTGAGCTTGTAAAACCACGACACGAGCCACCCCGTACCCTTTGCAATTTCTCATTCCACCTGTCTCCGTCTCTTTATCACTCTCGAACTGTCCAGGGAACTATCAACCCCTCACTCTCGGACGAAACTACCCCGGAACAGCGCCATTATACCGGCCACGGATTTATTGCCGGTGTTTTTGTCGTTGTGCACGCCTGCTACACCGACTCATTTAGAAAATTTCGTTCGTCGCACTGCTTCTACCATTTTTTCTTCTCTTTTGATGCACAAGACAATTTATTGGATGTATTTTTAAACGTAAGCTCTCTTTACCTATCACTAGTATTGTTTTTAAAAATTACCACACTTATAATATGGTTAATCAATTATGAATATAGGTGAGTACATTAAAATAGCTTTTAGATAAGTGTAGATATGTTTTTAAGACAAAATGGAGGTACACTGATGGTAATTTGACCGTGACCTGAAGGTCAAACTTTCACAAGATTTTTAAAAAGTTATATTAAATTATTCTGTGGTAGAGTAAGATAAATGAAGGTAAACGATAGTTAACTTAATTCCATCCAACGTAACTTCGTAGATCTGGAAGTTCGGATATCCTGAACAGGAAAAAATATTACACGATTTCCGATAGGAAGTCTCGAAGAAGGCCACGATACGAGAATATTAACCGAGCGTGCTTTAGTTCGGTCACGTACGACCACGGCAACATTTCCATGCTCTGTTTCTTTCCTCGGAAAGTTATAACAGCAATAAGCGAAATCTTTCCGAAACTGCCACTCCGAACTTCGTTAACGTTGCGTGCTTTACCTACGAAACCGTTTATCCAGTTTGTCAGAGACTCCTTTTACACATTAATTAGAGTGGAAAGAATGCATTAGAGAGAACGTGGGGCAATTGCTAAGGGATGAAACTGATGGCTGAAAATTTAATCGAGATTAAATTTAATGATCGTACGTCCGTTAATTTCTCGGCGTCTTGAGACCCATCTTCTCGAAAGAGGTAACAAACTCCGTTTAATCCGATCCGATCTAAACTTCTCGTTGAGAGAGAGGATCATAGAAGAGATTGTACGGCTGAAAACGCGGAGTCGGGAACAACTGGTCCCAGAAGACAGAGCAGAGAACGGGATACTTAGGGCGCGAGGTTTTTGCCGTGTAATTAAGAGACAACGTTGGAAATAATGGAGTATGGCGACAAAGGAAGAAGAGCTGGCCCAGTGTCTCGCGTGTTCGTTCGTGCGTTTCAGGACAAAGAGACCCCTTTCCCGGACATTTACTAGCGGCGCCATCGCGCGGTGTGCTCGGAGATTTGTGGCGAGGAGAAAATAGCCGGGCACCGGGCAAACGGGAAATTACTCTTTGAGTTGAAACGACGAAGTACTTTAATTGCCAGGGACGGCGAGTATCGCAAATTACGTAGATTTAAGATCTACCTTAGAAATTACAACCCCTACCAAAAATATGAATTACAAGGTAATCATATTTTTGTACATCCGCAGTGAGAAAAGTAAATGTTTGGAATCTTCTATTGTACTTACCGTTCAGCGCAGTTTCCAGGCCCTGTAACCTGCCTACGACCGCAGCCAGCTGCGCTTTGTGCAGCATCGCGTCCTGTTCGGACTGCTCGCTGAGGGCTTGCTTCAGCTGCCTCTCGGCTTCTTGTTCCTTCAATGTCAGTATCTCTTGCACGTGGTCCGTGTGCACCTGTTCTTGCAGCTTCAGTTGTCGTCGCATTTCGTCGTCGAACTTCTTCTGCTCTTCCAGCAACTGCAACAAAAAGCATCAGAACAATCAGTAACGCCTCATCAAAGATATTTGTAAGTTCTATTTTTAACCCCTTCCCGTGCGATTTATTTAACAGATGCGTCAGTCAAGACTCACTATTCAGGGCTATAACATTAAAACGAACAAGGAAAATTAAAATGTTGTATTTTATATTCAAGGATCCTTAATGCAACTTATAGTTGGACCTAAATTTCAAGTTGAAGAATCTTCAAAGTTTGAGTATGGTTTATCATATTTGAGCTGTAAGTGCGTCACGAGTGAGACTCGTCAAAGTATGGGAAGGGGTTAATTAAGACTGGAATACAAAAGTTCATAAACCTATGCCTGTGTTCATAAACCTAACCCATAGATCATAAAATCAAGGATTACAGTCTACATATCTAGAAAATCGTTTACACATCAAACAAGTCATAATTTTTGAGATACGAACGTATAGGGTTCTGAAGGTAGAAGAGATGAAAAACTTGGAAGTAGAAAAAAATCGGCGTAAAAATTCAACAAGCTTCAAGAAGTGTAGAGATGTGGGACAAAGGGTGACAGTGGAGGAAACCACCCTTTACATTTCAAGACACGCTTTTCGGCAACGAGAGCGTAAACAAGCACAAAACAACTGCTTCAAGTTTTTCGACGAAACAAACAACGGGGAAAAATATCTACGTGTAAAGAGAAATTCTGTCGGTCGCCCCCTTTGTTCCACCGTCGCTGAAGATTGGGCTACACCTTATTTCCCCGCGTCGAGTTTATAAGACACGAGAAGAGGACGCTTTCAACAGGATCAGAATTATTAAACTCAGTCAGGGGAATACGAGAAACACTCTGCTACGAAATACCCTGATGATGCCAGATTAAACTTATTCTTAAATTCGATAAGGTGATTCAAGATTGCGCTATTAGGGACGTAATTCTTTCCTAATGGAATGAACAAATGATCGAAAAAAGAGAGACCGTAAGAAGACTTTCCGTGTCGCCAGAAATCAATCATCTAGAATCTCGTCCATGTCGTCGCAAAAAGAGAAATGGGTTCTTGCGACGACTTTAACGATTTAACTTTAAATGGACATTGATTTCTGTAGGTTACTTTAGGTAAAGGGAATTCGACTGTCAGCAGTGACTTGTAGAATCGATGAGGTTCTTCTTAATTTATTGTCGTAGACTGTTTTCACTAACAGAAAGATCGTGTGATCAAGAAGCTATCATGAGTTAGCCATAATTAGTCAGTACTTTTTAACTGAATCTGTAGTGTCGTGTACAGCACCAGAATGACTTAGCTATTGCTGATAAGAGAATATGTATCAGGTAAAATTGTTTGATATCAAAGAGTTGATCACTTGATGTTACTAGCTTTTTAAGAGGTGACATCAAGAAGATGTGAAGGATCTTATCAAGTGCCTCACCCAGTACTTGAAATAATAAAGAAATAACTTGAAAAGAATTCATCAAACTTTTCTTCAGGAAGGTCTTAGAGTCGTCAGAACTGCCTCTGAGTGTACAACCGGAAGATCACAAGTACTTGTTTCGAATAAAACCGAAAGAGTCGGGTCACCTGTCCGGAACATTAGCTTAACGAGACTTTGATTAATTATCCCCTCTCAAGACGGCCTTATTGGCAAGTGACCCAGGTAGAACCTCTAATCCGAAGCTTTCTCCTTCCTCGAGCAAAGTGCTTTGCATACGTCTGTAGGTTGTGTACGGCTGCGAATGGTGTTCCGTCGGGCTGACGAGCTCGTCGTGGCGTGTTAAATCGTCTCTGTGTCGCCTGTGAACCGTCGTGTCAATAATTAACAGCTGGCTAACTTGACAAGCTACGGTCGTAGGTGCAAGAGAGAACACGTTCGCGAACATCGCGAATGGAGTAGCACCGGCAAATCCAACGGGATCTCGTACGCTCGTGGACCAGGTTATCCTGGATTTTCCATTAAGGCGGCGATAAGCTATCGTTAAGAGGATATCCGACGCTTTCCACCGATCGAACAAGTGGTTTGCCGTCAATTAACGCGCGATCGATGCTATTTAGATCTGCGATACACTTCCAAATTTACTATATTGCGAAACTGAGATTTATTCTTTTAAGCGGGTAATTGGGGAAGGATTTTTGGTATTTTGCTAGCATCTTGGGATGTAGAATAGAATGGAAGGTGTAGAAATAGGGACTGTTGGAGTCTGAGGATCTGGAGGTCTGAGAATCTAAGACCTTTGGATGTAGAATAGAATGGAGGATGTAGAAATGTGGGACTGTTGGAGTCTGAGGATCTGGAGGTCTGAGAATCTAAGACTTTGAAGATGTAGAAATGTAGAGCTGTAGGAGCTTGAGGATCTGGAGGTCTAAGAATCTAGGACCTTGGTTTTGGAATAGAATAGAAGATATGGAAATGTAGGGATCTAGGACTCCAAGGACCTGGAGGTCTAAGTATCTAGGAATCTAAAGATCTACAAATCTAGAAACGTGACATACGACCATATAGAAACCAAAATTTCAAGATTTGCAAATCTGTAAATTCAGAAACGTAGATATCTAAGATTGCCACAAGTCTCCCTATCAAAAATTCCTAATAAAATAAAAATCCTAATTCCTAATAAAAATTCCTCGACCAAATTCCACATAAAAAATGAAATAATACTAAAAAGAAAATGAGAAGATAATTTTTGACAGTGTGCCACGTGAAGTTAGATTAAACGAACGAGTGGTCGCGTGCGATGCGACATAGGGTAAAAAAGAAATAATAGAACGGCGCGAACAAAGCTCGTTTTCGAACGCGCACCGAAAACAATCCACCAGACGAACGCGGACGAACGATGATAATCCGGCGCATCGTTCTCTAATCCGTTTTGAAAAATCAAAAACCGTCGAAGCCTGGTGTCCGTGACCATCTGTCGCGATAACTCGACGCGCCGGATTAGTAGAATTCCTCGATGAAATTCCAGCCGGAATCGAGAGAGCTTCTCCGTTACGCTGGATAGAGCTCGATTGTTCGAACGACGCTTTTCACTCTTTTTTTGCACCCTTTTTCGCTTGTTTGTCTTTTTTTACGGTACGCTGTTGATAAGTGTTGTTCTGGGATCAACAGGGATTACTGTTTTTTTACTGATTTAGAAATTGACGCAGGTGATCGTATGGTGTGGTCATTCTAATTGCAGGATTTTGGAATTTTTTAATTGTTGGGGTTGTAGATTGAATTTTGGAATTTGAGAGTTATCAAATGTGCAGATAATCAAATTTCTCAAGGTCCGATTTCCAAAACTTACTAGTTTCCTAAATTCTAAATTTCCAAATCCCCACATTTCTCCAATCCTTACAGTTCCAAATCCCTACATCCCCCAATCTCTACATCCCCAAATCCCCATATCCCCAAATACCTAAATCCTCAAATTCTTAAAGTCCCAAATCCCAAACTTCCAAATCCTTAAATTCTCAAATTCCTAAATTCCCAAATCCCTAAATTCCCAAATCCCCTAAATTTCCAAACACCCTAACTTTCAAATCTCTAAATTTCCAAATCCCTAAATTCCCAAACCCCTAAATTTCCAAACACCCTAACTTTCAAATCTCTAAATTTCCAAATCCCTAAATTCCCAAACCCCTAAATTTCCAAACACCCTAACTTTCAAATCTCTAAATTTCCAAATCCCTAAATTCCCAAACCCCTAAATTTCCAAACACCCTAACTTTCAAATCTCTAAATTTCCAAATCCCTAAATTCCCAAACACCCAAACTTCCAAATCCCTAAATTTCCAAATCCCCAAATCCCCAAATTCCCAAATCCCTAAATTCCCAAATCCCTAACTTTCCAAACCCCTAAATACCCAAACCCCTAAATTCCCAAATCCCTAAATTCCCCAAACCCCTAAATTTCCAAACACCCTAACTTTCAAATCTCTAAATTTCCAAATCCCTAAATTCCCAAACACCCAAACTTCCAAATCCCTAAATTTCCAAATCCCCAAATCCCCAAATTCCCAAATCCCTAAATTCCCAAATCCCTAACTTTCCAAACCCCTAAATACCCAAACCCCTAAATTTCCATATCCCTAAATTCGCAAACGCCAATTCCCCAAATTCGCAACACCCTAAACTGCCAATTGTCCAATTCCCCAATTTCCCAAACTCCAGCCAAAGTTCCCAAGTCGCGTGAAATAATAGCAATTAAACGATGTACCGATACGCAGCCATTTTCGCTGTATCCGTAAATGGGTTAATTTCACAACTATACGAAACAGAGGAATTCGACCGAAAGTTCTCAGCTATCGCTTTTAATTTAGCTCATCTTCGTAGTCCCAGCGCGAAAAACTATAAACTCTAATTAGAAAGCTGGATAGTTCCGAGTTACTCGCAGTTTCCGCGCTTTCTCGAGTGCTCCGATTTAGATCTAATCTCTGCGATAATCGCGTTCATTCCGTAGAGCTTATAACAGACCTGAATCTTCAACGTACTTTATCAAAAATGAATTCAACTCCTAATAAAATTCATTTAAAAAATACCAAAAACCGTCTAATAATACTTTACCAAATATAATATCGTACCTAACTACTGTATCTAACTAAAAAAATGAAAGATCAATAAAGTTTGTCTCCCGAAAAAAAGTAATACCAAGTCCTGTTAAAACAAGAAGAACAAAGGATAAACCAAGTATCCCAAAGAAACAATGGGCAGCAAGGGCGGCATAATTCAAGAGGGCGCAACAAAGTGGAGCTTACCTCGGACAGCTAAAACGATCGTAAGGGTTCGTAGATTAAAAGAAAGCAGAAGACAAAGTTCGAATTGAAATCGCGTTTAGTGGTAAAAATTTTTATCGGGGACAGCGGTAACACGATGCGACTCTTAAATTATTCCACGCGTCGGCCATAAAGTCCGGATGGCCCGTAATGGGACCAGAAGGCACAGGGAATCGATATCTCTCGTTCGTACGCTTCCCTCGCGGGGGAGAAGATCGAAAACGTTCGATTACATCTGCCGGCAACGTGGGAATTCCTCGATTTACGGACACCAACGTTTTCGCCGATCAGACGACGCTGCGTCGGCCAATATTTTCACCGAGGTCCGACGTTTCCGTCCTGCGAACCGGATATACGGGCTTCAACCCTCCGACCGACGTTCAAGATTTTTTTGCCCTTCCAGAAAAGCAATTTTTCACGCGTGTGCTCCGCGTATTCCCACAATTTCCATTTTAATTTGGATTTATGACGCGCTGTTTTTTGGCGTTCAGTAAGACTCGTAATAAATTTATATTTAAACTAAAATAACTTTGCTTTCGAGTACACTCTCGAGGCTGTATGTTTTTGGAAAAATCTAGTTTTGTGACATAAAATGCCACTTACTCGAGTTTCATGAAAATGTCCGCGTTTCATCGATATTCTTAGTGCAAGATGGCTGCTTGCAAATCACGGCAAACAATCGATTTCGAAACGTATGACAGTTTTGTGACATAAAAGTATCTCAAAATGTCGCACATCGAATCGAAGCTTTATGAAAAAGTCTATCTAAAGGTTTCATCGATATTTTTAGTAAAAAATCGCTGCTCGTAAATTGCAGTTCAGTTTTGGCACGTATAGACTCTGACACAGTTTCATGACATAAAAGTATCTCAAAATGGCATTTGTCATGTATCGAATCGAAGCTTAAAACTTTACGAAAATGTTTGCCTAAGCACTCTATCCAACTGAAGCTTAAAAGCATACGAAAATAATTGTATAAACTCTTACAAAATGGCCGTCGAATTAAAGTCGAGGAAAAACAGATTCCATCAGAATATTAATAGAAATTGATGGATCCAAACAATGGATGAACTTAATTGACTGATTGTTCGAAGAATCATTTTGTAAGGACGAATGTTATAAAATGTACATGAAAGCGCGATATACGTATGCATGATGCGATATATCACGCGTCAGCGGAAATTTAAAAAATGAGAGACTATTGTCAATACAACATGCAAGGATTCCGTTTGAAAACGAGAACAACGTCGAAATCCGAAGCTGGCGAATGTTTAATTCATAGAGAGGGATGTTTTTGACCCAGGTCGCGTGAAAGAATGCAAAACACTCTTCCGAGCTGTGATTCGAAATTCTGAATCCTCCTTTCTCGAGGATGCACTCGTGATTTATCGTCGAGAGAGAAACTGGACAATGGCAATTTCATCCTCAACCAGAATCTTATCAAAATTCTCAAAGGTGCAACTCCTGTGAACGGGGATGCCATTTTGCAAACGGTGATTTGTTGCGTGACACTACGAGATTCTGCGAAGTCACGAAATGTAACAATTTCCTAGAAGTCAGTTTCTAAATCTCGAAGTTAAATTAGAACTTCAAATTTAATTTCTCTTATTCGTTATTTAAATAGGAAGTGTCCGATTCAGGTTCGCCGCAAAAAGGAGCGAAGAAACGTCGCAAGATAAAATGCTCCTATAATGGGATAATTAATAAACTTTATGGAGAGACATTCTTAAATATTAATGAGGCAACTCATCTTCACTGATCCTTGAATTAAGTAACGATTTAACGCCCACTTTTCACTGAATGCAATTTTCCGAAAAAAATTCGCCGTTAAAACCAACCTCTCATTTTTCTGATTCAAAAGATTTTCCAGAACGCGACATTACGACAAATAAAAGTCGGAATTCCGAAATCTCGTAAAGCTATACGCAGTGACACCGAGCTATTCAGCGATGATTTCTATACTACCGCACCTGTTTTACGATTTCACAAGCTTTTTTACGACTTTTGCATCGGTTCACTGTTAAAGCCATCATCGGGACATAAAACTCGAAAACGATGGGGTTGAAAGTTCTTGGATCGTTCGCGAGTTTGTCAGGCATAGTTCAACGATTCGATGAAATTTTCATCGATCCACGTGGAACATATTGTACAATTAAACGCGCACGATTCCGAACACGTACACCCCCGAATTATCATTCTCAAATATTTTCATCCCGTAATTTCTATCGATAAATTAAATTCTCGTATCTCACGTTGGAAATTATTCCATTACTTCGTGGCAATCGCGTCTTTAATTGGTCGATGTAAATGCGAAACGTGCTCCACCTGTTATTTCCAAAATTCTTCATTTTCGGGATTCATAAAGTCGTTTGCAATAAATTTCGATATATGTATATTTGATTTGGTATGAAAAGAAAAAGGTATCGTAAATCAGAAAATGTCCAGACTTGGACAAAATACTTGAGAGGGCAGAAATCAGGACAGTTCCGAATTTGTTTCGGAGTGACTGTAGATATGGCCGCGACTCCAATGGAATTGAGGGCAAAAGACGAGTGGAATCAGACAACTATGACGACAGTAAGTCATAGTGATTCCTGAGCGAGGATATCTCTCGGTGTGACTAGACGCGTACACGCCGGATATACCGCAAGGCTAGTCTAAAGAGATAATATTGCCTTGCACCGGCGAAATATTGGCAACGAGCCAAATGGAAATAGATAAAAAGCCCGAAGGGTGGCAGGATCGTCTCCCTACCTTTTCTACATTCCTCCCTCTTTCTCTCTCTCTTGGTTGTGCCAAATGGATATAGGTATGTACACGTACATACATATGGGATACGCCACACCCCATGTGTAGACACACATAATGCCTTTGTGACGGTGTACACGAGGCTTTTCCAATTTCAAATTCTATTCGTACCATGAAAGTGTAACCTGCACTTGTGCACACACCATCCCCGGCTCCAATGTTTGCTTTTATCAGACAAGATATCGATTTAATCCTTGATATTAATTTGAACTTTACGAGTTCCGAAGGTGAACCTTTCTAAAAGTGTTATTAGGATATTACATTTATCTTTCTCGAAAAAGTTCGTCACACAATTCTGAAACGGATTACGCTCGTGATTCCAATCTTTTTCCCTCGTTCGCAAGGTTTCGCTTTGTTTCATTTACATACATATGCATGTGTTAAACGAATTAGCGCGACCGCGATATCGCTGACCAGAGACCAACAGATATAACAAAGTCTCTTACCTTTTTGTTGAATTCGTCTTGAAGGATCAGCTTCTCCTTCTCCAACTCCAGACACACCAGCTTGTCCAACTGTTCCTGACTCGCCACATCGCCGGACGACCTGAGCGCTGCTCTCAGTCTGTTCTCGTGCACGGTCTACGATCAAATAAACAAACAAATATAAATACGTACACCTCATTACGTGGCCTTGTTTACATTATACGGAAACGCATAACAATATTTACCCGTAGTTTCTCTAGTTCCTTTTGGAGGTTGTTTACTTTATTGTACATGTGTAGGACGAACAGATCAAAGGAGTTCTCGTCAATGGCCAGTTTTTTATTATGAATGTTGATTTCGGGGAACAGGATTTGTAATTCCTCGTTCAGGTTTTCACGAGCTGTTTTAACCTGTTTCCAGTAACGTTCGGTGATGTTACCGCTTTCGACCTCCGCCTCGTACTTCTTTTTCGCTTCGTCAACGTCGTCTAGGATCTTTTTGATGTTTCTTCTGGCAGCTGTTTTCATATGTGACGGCGCGTCGAATTTAGGATCATCGATTAAATTGTACATTTTCTTGAGCGAATTTAAAGCTTGGGTAGCATGCTCTTCTGCTTCTTTAACGGCTGCTGCTCTCTTTTCTGTTGCTTCCTTCAGTCTGCAATTAATAAGCGTTTTATTAGATACGTGAAATTGTAAACGGATAGCAAAAAATATACGTTATGTACAAGTACCTGTTCCAGAGAGCGGTATTAGCAGTGGTACTAGCACTTTCTACAACCTTAATTACATCTTGATTATAATCTTGAATAGCGCATGATGCTTTCTGATAAGCTGCTATGGCTTTAGATGCAGTTACACCGGACGATGTTTCTAGTTCCACCAGATTTGCTGGCATTAACTCTTCAGGTACATCCTTAACAGGAGGTGAAGGTTTCTCAGCCACTAAAAAAAATCACATATGTTCAGCTATGTAGTTATTAAACAAAGAATATATTATACAAAATTATAGACTATGCTACAAAAAAAAAAGCATACCAACTTCAATTGCTTCTCCTTTCTCTTTACTTAACCTTATTTCGGCATAAGGTTCATTATTAGGTGGTTCCTGCTTGTCAACCAGAGGAACAAAAGCTGGCTTTGGTGCTACGGTACACACGTGATTGTTAAATGTTAGTAAGCAAAATAAACATGGTTTTAATTACATTGTCTATTTATACAATGAAAATTATTTTTTCCTACTAGCTAAAGGGAAAAATGAACAGTAAGGAATGTTTACAGATTAGTAAGGGAGCTCACGTATATAATCTTCAGGTTTAGTGCAATCTAATTTTTTCTGACCTGATACTTTATCTGCTTTATCTCCAAGAACTGCACTTAGTATTCTAGAAATAAAAGTGATCAATTCGTGTAACAATTATGTATTTAAATGCTGGCTTAATAGGTTTGAACTTACGTTTGTTTAAGCGTTTCAAAGAATGTTTGTATAAACTCAAAATAGGATGATTCCTCCTGAAAGATGATCTGAATCGTTTTATCTACACCTGGTATATATCCTTCAAGATTGGCACGAAATACTGGATTGTGTTTTGCATACAGCAATATTCCTGATGCACCTATTGCCACAGCAGTCAAGGCTAAGAGTGTCTTTGAGCCTTGACCCTTTTCACTTTGAGAACAAAAATTAGTAACAAGTGATTAACATAAATATTTCTAAATATTTGCTTCACTTGTTGAGATATCTTTGTACATATAGTGATACAGCATGTATATAATTTTGTTATGTAACATGGCAGAACATTGTACTAGGATTTAAATGTTTAATACCTTTTTGTGGAATCAGTTGAGTATCTATGTCCAGAATATCTGGATGTAAGTTTCACATCCTTGAACAACCTAAAACATGTAGTTATGCTTATATAAGATATTCTAAATCCTATCAATCAATAGAGTACTCAAAATAGTAATCAAAATTACACAATTGAACATATATCATAGTCTATTTTTATAGAATTTATTAAACTGTTTAAAATACCGATTATAACAATATTTTAAAATAAAACAATGTTAACAAAGGCGAAATATGTGAACAAGTTTAAGTCTGAACCAAATAATGTACTTATGACAAACATAACCTGACCAAAACTTAACTCTCGAAATTATAACACAATTATTACTTGTTGAAACAAATATCATCAGGTATAAATAAAAGTAATGGGTAAAAGTTTCTTTTTCTTTAGAAACAACTTAAATAATGACAAGTTTGACAATCCTGAAAACAAAACAAAATTCGCCCGCTCACCTCCATTCGGGCTCACATTTAACTCGTGCACGTGTCTCATAACACCTAGTTGTCAAATAGAGTCTGGAGGATCCATGTTTTTTGACCTGTAACGACAACGGTGGCAGTGAAACCGTCTGGAATTATGTAAGCTCCTAAATTTAAGCCATCTTGTCACACGAGGCGGGCAACCTTGGTCTTGCTCACAGGAATATTCACTGACAACTTGCGAAAACATCGTCGTTATGACATAACCACAATTTCTCACATAAGTCGTGGCTCATATCTCGCCAGAATAATAAAATAGCAACGAAACGTTAAATATTATTAAGGGAGAGACGTCTCGACGACAACGTCTAGTGGCACATAGTGACACGGTTACGTCCAAAAATCTCTTTGTTATTTCTCGTCAAATTCATTTAGCGACAAAACACTCGGTCCTCACAAATATAACCGTTTGTTTTTTACTTACTTTACGTACCCTAGTTAGACCGTTGCACGGAAATTTTAATCCAATTCGGAACATCTTTCGGGTGGCCGGTCAGGCAGCCAAAGGAAAAAGGGAACGACGGCACAAAACAGCTGGTTACCGACGGAACTACGGGAAAAGAAGAATGTTGCGTATTGTTAGTACCGCGATTCGGGGTATGTATCATAAATTTCTTCGTTGTTGCACTAACGTTTGACTTCGTTAAATTGAATAACACTTTATTGGCTTCATTTTGAACTATCAATCGTTCTGTTTCACTAAATCGTTACGCGGCAGTAGCCACAAGTTAAAAAATTATAGGTTATGTTCGCGCAACGATTTGAACTATTTTCTGTGACAGAAGGAACGATATGGAACTGTGACTGAAAGCGCGCTAATCGAAACTGTATAAAAAAGATCGAATTTAATAAATTAGTTTTACATCTCATTATATATTTAGGCATTTATTTAGGCTTGCATTTTATTCAACATCGATGTATTTAATATTTATTGTTTACAGGCATCGCTGCATGTACCAATGCCAGTTTGAAAAATCCCACACTTTTTAAACAACTTCCTGCTGCCGAAAATGCGCAACAAAGATACTTCGGTGCTTTATCCTCTATAAATAAGTGGAACAATGTCGCAGACATTAAACAGAAAGCAATACTTGGGTATACATACTATTTTAAATACATTGTGCAATGTATTACATAATGCTATACCAGCATAAAACATCGTTTATAATCCAATTAAAATTTGTAGTCAAACACATGTAGGATGTGTTGTTCCTCCGACGTTGACACCTGTTAAAACTTCGGTAAGAACAGTCATAAAGTTTTCTAGAAACAAAGGTAAAAGGAAAACTGTATCCACTGTAACCGACAGATTCTACAGATTAAATTGGTAAGCATTTAATATGGCAGTGATGTGTACTACATTCTATAATATATTTTATCTTCTATCAGGGGTATATGGATAAGAACTATAGCTGGCCGTAACAGTGGAAATTGGAGGAAAAGTGACAAACAATTAAGGAGGAGACTCTCACATGTATTCTGTAATGCAACTCAATCTTACATGTTAGATAAGATGGTAACGAAATTTTGGAAAAGGCCACATTTTTATGTAGATGATCCCTATACGCCTTATCATACACGCGAGGAATTCCCCTTCACCAGAAAACGCCCACTACCGTGAACTTACTGTCAGAATAGAATATGTGTATGACCAGTTTTCTGTCAATACTTCAATAAATTAAATACTTCCCTTGAAAATAAAACTTATTGCACACGTTTTCAAATTCGAAAATTTTACTCATGGCGATCACATATACATTTTATTTAAAGTTTCCAAACTTTGTTACCGACTGTTTTCAAAGCAGAATTATTTTTTATCGAGATCACGTGGTTTCCCCCACTACCGTTCGACAACGTTAAAGTGGCGTAACGTGTTCAGTCGTAGTTCGTCCTTCGTAGCGAACAGTGCATTTTGATCATTTGCCGGGAACACCCTCCACCTTTGTCCCCACTTGAGAAGCGGTTAATAACATTATCCACGTCCTTATCTCGACGACAGACGTTTTATCGACGAAAAAATGCCTTACCGCGGTAGAGTGCGACTGCTTAGCAGAACCTGCTTTGCATTAAGAAACTCGTGTGCAGAAAAGAATCACACGCATTTTGCAACCGGTATACGCGGCAGAAATTTTTCAGTGAGCAGTGCACTCGACATGAGGTGAGTGGAACTTTCTAGCCAAAGTTAATAACACTTCAAGAACAATTAGCAAGTCACTTTTTTGAATGTATTTTGGAATAGTCAAATTTCGCGCGAATAATTTGATTGGCCTTTTGTGTTCAATTCTTTCTCTTTTATTTAGGATTTGTCGTGTTTGATCAAAACATATCTTACAGTGTTAATATACATGATTATATATATTCTTTCCTTTTAATAACACAAATAAGGTATGCATCGATTTAAATGAAAGACGTATTAAGCAGATGCAAATATTCGAGAATTTATGCTGGAATTAAATCGTATTTGATAGTTTATATCGATTGAAGTACGAATCGACATTGCATATGCGAAATTAAGTGCGGATGCGTTTTCATGTGTCGATGAACACATTGATATTGATTGGCAATCAGTATTCGCGGTTAGATTGTCATTCGCCGGTAAATTGAATAAATCGATTTGTAACTCTGAATGAACAAGATTATAATTGATTAACGATTAATCGAATTCGAGAGATTTGATGAAACGTAGTTATATCATCGACACTGGACAGGTCTGAATTTACACGCTAACGAAACTGTTCGAGCTGAACATAGCTGCCTTCTAACATATCGCTCGAAGGGACGTTAATTAACGTAAAGATGTTTTTTCGTATAACAAACGTTGTCAAATTTATTTATTATATAATAAACATATGAATAAAGAAATTAATACATTTTATGTTCCCTCGTTTAACAACATATCTTTACTGTTTTTTTACTTTATCAAGCTTGTAAGCCGTAGAATTAATATTGTTGATTGAAGCCGATAAGCGCCAGGCGATACTGCACTAATTAAAATTAGGACAGACAGGTGTACTGCGATCGAAATATCAAGAGAGAATATAAAAGGACTTTGTTTAGGTTTTTTGTGCATGAACTAGTGTCAAATAAAATGTACTTCACGATGTATACAAATAAACAGCAGATTTATTCGACTTTTGCAACAATCTTTTCCATTTCCAATTCGATTCATGAAAAAGGATAAACTACACTGTTGAACAAGCAGGCTCGAACCTTGAGATTTATTTTCTTTTTCTTGTCGAAGGCAAGGTGAATTAATCATTGCTTCCACGAAAACCTGGCCGTACAGACAACAATATCAATGATCGTAAAAACAATAATAAAAGTACTTTCTCTAACATAAGCTTCAAGTACTTATGAGAAATAAAATTAAACGTTGGCAATCGTACGAGCAATTTACAAGTTTAAGATTTTCCATTAATAGTTTCTCGGAGATCGATTTACTCGAGGCAATAGTTTCCTGATTGAATCTAAAGGAAAGACAGGATTTCAATGTTTTTTGTCTTCGAACTTTCACATGTTTTATGCATACGTGCTACTTTTAGAGTATGCACCTTAATGCAGTTATACATTGTCTTTATGTGGAATTAACGAGGCTCGTTGTATGCGAATCATCGTGTCGTTAATGAGTCGATTATGAACCTCGAAATATTTATCGGTTTTTAATCAGACCCGCGGGAATTCAAAATTTATTTTGAGATGTTTAACGAAATTAGGCGTTTGTTAATAAAATAAATATGTAAATTTATTTATTATAATACAAATACTAGTACAATTTCTGTTAATATTATAAAATATCTGTCTGACAATATGTAACATAGAAAATATATTTTCGTTAGAAATCAAAACTCCCTTCCGCAATCGTCAGTAATTGCAATGACGAAAATTGATATTCGATAAAAGTGTTCTATTTTTAGAGAACGGGGTCAAGTCGCTGGCATTTCGACTTATCGCTTATAAAAAAAAGAACGATTGTTAGGTAATTGTTGAATTCAATGAATTATTACCTTACGAACTGGGTTAATCCTGACTCAGACATACAAATCGTATAACGCTGGGACTTGAATGTAACGTTGAAATTTTTCTCCATATATTGCAGAAACAGAAAATTTTCATATATTGCAGAAATAATTATTTAGAGAATGTCAGTATATTTTATTGAATAACTAACTTAATTTATTTTTTATTTACAGGTTCGTACAATTCACCGGTAAAAATGGCGGTCCGCAACATCTTGGGGTACAGCTGGTGCAGGGTGGCGACGTGATCGCGGTATCCGCGGTGGACTCGCGGATTCCTAACACTCTGAAAAAGTTCCTCGAGGGTGGTGACGACATGCTGAAAAAAGCTAAAAGGTAAACGAACAGATCTCACGGACACGGATTACGAGCGGATACCAGAAGCCTCTGTTATCACGAGTTATCGCATTATGGTCATTTATTGACCGAATCTTGTAAATATGACGGTGAAAGCAGAAAAAATTAAATGTTGCGAAATAGATAAAAAGATACAACTTATTGGCGAGAATTGTTGTTGTGTGGCGTTCGGAGAGGGAGTGATTGATGACTGGGAAAATTGCAAACGCATGATAAGTAGAGTGCAGTAGAATAGATAAACGATAAATAAGACTAATCGCTTAGATAGGTACGTAAGAAATTAAATCATTCCCGAGTTCATCTTAAATCGTTTTCTTTCCTCAGGGAAGATGATGATGTCGACCTGCAGACCCTTGTAGAGAGGTTCGTGCCAAAGATGTGTGAATATGTTCTGAGAGCGTTAATTAACTCCCCTGTGTTAAATTTCCAAGAGAAAACTATTTACTAGATTATTATTTATCGCTAGAATAGTATCTGTTTATTAGAGCATTATCAAGATGCTTTTTTCGATGAAGTATTTTACATTTGTTCTTTTAATTTGCCCGAAAATATGCGAGCTACGTGCACACGATGAGAATGTGCTTTGCGTTGAAGTTACATAATTCCACGATCACGGACATTGCGTTCGTCACGAGGACATGATTGTCCTTGGAAATAGTTTGCCATAAAATTCGCTATTACGATACTGATAATTCCACTGTAAAAATGGTGAGCCGCGAAGGCCATCGATTTATCCAAGTTCAAACTGTTCCGACTTACATGTCCATCATCTTTTATAACACGCAATCGATTCTTGGCAAACAGAGGCCTTTCAATCGGATATAATTGACATATTTGTGTGACTGTGTCGTCGTATGTGGATTATAGTTTTACCTGTTCCTTCACTAACCAATGTTTGATCATTTCCACGTGACTGTCGCACGTGTAGAAACGTAACGATCAAAGAGTGGAATTTATTGATAAAACATAGATAGAGTTGAGCGACATGTTATTTAAACATTAAGGTACACTATCTCTTTGTTTGGAAGATCGAGTTGACCTAAACGGTAATGATATCTCACATATCATTCAAACGATGAATAAGTTTCTAAACATTAAATCTAGCAAATCTTTTTATTCTTCTGACAAAAAATGATCTAATACAAAATTGAAGATACGGTCCCAAACCTGTATTCGATTAAAAAGTGCTGAAAATTGTTCAAATATCGCTCAATTCTGTCACAGATGCTTTATGTATAGTGTTGAAATAATTTTAATATGAATAAACGTTTGCAGAATAGTGGCTGAAGGACGAAGCGTAATACCCGAGGCGGAAGTCAACTTTTTGGCGCCAGTGACGCGGATGGATAAGCTAGCCTGTATCGGTTTAAATTACATCGGCCACTGCAAGGAGCAAGGTGTGTCACCACCAGAGACTCCTGTAGTGTTCAGTAAATTTCCGAGCAACATTATTGGCCCGCGTGACAACATCATGCTTCCCTCGATTTCCGACGTAAGTTCAAGAACAATGTAGGGTACATTGGTCGGTACAAGCGCAGCCGCTCTTCGTAGCCGTGACCGTTTATTTCTAGTCTCCTTGATTATGTAACGTTAACGCACTTTTGAACTAATTATAGAAATGTATGTAATCTAAGAAAAGAAAGAAATCGAACGTGTCGCTGGACCGATGAATGAGCGTGTTCGAATCTGTTTTACCGACCAAGACGTTCTTGACCGTTGACCAATCTGACCACTAATTTCATTTCATTTCTGTTATTCAGAAAGTCGACTGGGAGGCCGAGTTAGCGGTAGTAATCGGTAAAAAGTGCAAAGGCCTGAACAAGGACGAAGGAGAGGCTTATATCTTTGGTTACACAATAGCACAGGATATCACGGCGCGCGATTGGCAAAAGTCGAAAAGAAACGGTGGTCAGTTTCTGATCGGTAAGGCGATGGACACGTTCTGTCCATTAGGACCTGCCGTTGTCACCAAAGAAGCCGTGTCCGACATTAATAACCTGGCCGTTAAGACCTGGGTAAATGGCAACATCAAACAAGATGGAAACACTAAGGAACTGATTTTTAAACCGCATGAAATCGTGGCCTACATCTCACAGTACGTGGACGTTAAGTACCTTTACGAAGTCGTAAAAACGTAAACTGTTGGTCTGATTATGTAAAATCGCGATTTGCAGATTTATGACCCTGTTGCCGGGAGACGTGATTCTAACAGGTACACCGGCAGGCGTTGGATTTACCCGCAAGCCTCCTGAATTTTTACAGGTATTATTCAGTAGATATAAGCCTTTATATATAACAGATCTAGGGCAATATAACGAGAGGGGGTCACATTTGTTGTTTCAGCGCGGTGACGTATTGGAAACAGAGATAGAAGGTTTAGGTCGTATGAGAAACAAAGTTCTCTGATCTGATGAATGGATGGCGCCCCTAGAAAACGTACGGGAACGTTACAGAAGTAGGAACCGTCGTCAGAATGGTTACGGCTAAATCTCCGATCCGTTCTGAACATGTTCAATGCACGATAAACGTGAAGGAAACGGAAGCAGAAAAAAAAATACGTGTCGATAAACGCGTCAGTGACTGTACAAATATTGGAACGATACGTCTCGCGTCGCAGGGTATCGAACGCTATCGAAGAAACTGAAGCCTGCATCACACGTTTATGCATCACAGAAGTGCTACACCTTTTACATGCATCTCATGGATTTTACGTACTTGTACAATTAAAACAAGACTGTTTCTAAAATAACAATTTCCCCTGTCTGCGTGTTTTTTTATCGATTGTTTTTTTACCAGCCTCTATGAACTTCTATTAAAATATTTTTCGACGAACCGATTTATTAATTTTCCTTACACTTTCATTGTTTTTATCAGTATGTAGTAAGTATTTTTATAATAAATATCATATTAATCAATAAAATTAGCCTTTTTATGGAAATTGAACTAGTGGCGCCATCTCTCCGGCGAACGGGGTGAACTACAAGCTTTTGAAACACGTCCTTCGTTAGTACCATTTTCTGCCACTAGCTGGCGCTACGGGCGCGTTTGCAGCGCCGTCTGGTGGCGGAAAGGAGAACTAACCAATGAGGTGTCTCAGATGCGTGTAGTTCACCCTGTTCGCCGGAGAGATGGCGCCACATGTACGATTTTTGAAAAATCCCTTTTTTTTAATTAATTAACTGCAATTTTGCATTAAAAACCACTGGAAAGCAATACTAATTAGCTTTGGAATTTTTTACAACCTTAAAAATAGGGATTTACTTGGAACAAATTTATTACCTCTTATGGAAAGCAAGAGTGCTATAACACTTTTGGAAAATTAAGTACTCAAGTATTGCAATTAGAATAATACAAAAGTTGAAAGAAAAAAAGATAATATAAAAAAAATATTTGAATACGAAGGTTAAAATGTTCTAAACGCGTTGGTTCAAAAATAAAACGCTTTCGCGTTCTCGAATTTCGCGGTGACGGAAATCAGCGGCGATTTCGGTGATTGATGAAGTATCGCCGAAGAATTTCCTAATCGGTGATCAGGCCCTACTAAGCCTCATTATAAACGGGCAGAGTCAGCCGAACCACGGTTTTATCTTGGATCTGACGAGCTAGCCTTGTTAGCAAGCTGAACTATGGACTATTACATTTATCTGACCCGATCCACCGAAGTCTGAACAGCGTCGTTGGTTTTCTCGGTACGGCAGTGATGGATACTTCACGGTTAACGTCCTGACACTGTCGCACGTTGAACCGAAACCTAAACTGTCCACTCCGTGAAGTCGATGAGCCTTCCTCTTCCTTCGAGAATACGTTCTGCCAATCTTGGAAACTCGAGTTTTATTTCACGCGTTCGCAGATAACAACAATACAGAATTTTTTAATTTTTTAATTGGCAAATTTGAAATTTTAGATGTGGAAATTTTTAAGGAGCTAATTCGCTAATTTTCAAATGTATGAATATTCAAATCTCCACAATTTAGAATTTCTAAGTACAAGTTTTTCAATTTCCAAGTGTCGAAATATCCAAAGCTCTGAAATACCAAATTTGCAACCCTCGAGTTCTCAAGTGTCGAAATATCTAAATCTCTAAAATACCAAATTTGCAACCCTCGAGTTCTCAAGCTTCCAAGTGTCGAAATATCCAAATCTCTAAAATACCAAATTTCCAACCCCCGAGTTCTCAAACTTCCAAATGTCCAAATGTCCAAATCTCTAAAATATCGAATTTCTAAGCCTCGAATTCCTGAACTTTCAAATTTCTAGGCTTCCAAACTTCCAACCTCCCTTTCTAAGTTTTCGAATTTCTAGCACCCCTAAAATTCTCACATCCCCAATTTTCCAAAGTCCCCGCATCCACAAATTTAAATTCACAAATTCGCAAATTCACGAATATTTAAATCTGCAAATTGACTGCTCTGCTGATTTTGGCAAAGAGAATTTCTTCGACCACGTACGACACGTTTTCAAAAATCCCACCAAACGTGCTTTCACGGTCCCCAAAAGTACGATTTCCTAGAAATCAGACCACGTTACACGACCAAATGAAGAGTTTTAGAAGTCGAAAAAGGCGGTGCCACATAAACACGATGAAATCGTTGCCGGTTTAAGACGAAACGTCTATAAAATTCATTTAAAACGATTGCGTTACTCTGTGCCATGAATGAATTATATTTACAAAGGTAGATTCATGAATTTCCTTCTTTTTTTTGGAACTATAAAATAGAATTTATTTCCTCCATATCTACGTACCACATCTATCGTTTCGAGATATATATACGATAGAGGAGGTTGGTTCTTTTCTAGCCCGTAATAAGTTTCTTTTTTTCGTGTCAGGCACGTGATCAAAATTGTAAACCAGTTTTTCATCTAAACATGGCCTTTGACTCTCTTCTCGGTAAAACTGGCCCTCCCCGTAAAAGCAGACGCGGTCATCGTAATCCAGTTTACTTTCCACCTTGTCTACTGGATCAGAAACCTTACCAAAGGAGCCGAAAATGTGCTCAAAATCTCTGCGTACCACTTATCGAGCTCATTCGTTTCGAATCTCGTTCCTGCGGAGACTCTGACTTTAAAAGTCGTTTTTTAAGTTGATCCTTATCTTTCGGGAACTACTGTTGGTCTTTTAAATTCGCCTCGACAACAGGTTAATAGATATACCATTCTCGAGAGCTATATCTTTCGAAAATGTTAGGTTTTTAAATTCCTCTTATTCAGAAATTTCTAAATTTTTAAATTAGAAGGTTTGGTTATTTAGAGATACATTTTGTGGCCTCAATGTAGGAGTTCATTAATGTAGGAACGTAATAATTGGGTCAACTGAAAATCTGGAAATGCAGGGATGTAAAGTTTTGCAAAATCTTCTATGGAAGATCGGTGATCGATGTATTTTCCAATTAACCCAATCAATTAAAAGAAGTTTCGGAAGCGTCCGCTGGCAATTTTTGGGCTTACTGCGCGTACGCAACGCGCATGCGCGATAGATCAGATATACCAGGTAACAAATGACATCGTCGAACTGGCATAGTAGCTATCTCTCCATCTGGCGTGGCTCGTAAACGCACAACAATTGACCATCTAAGCAACGGTAACAGTATTCTTTCTCCCGCGACCAAACTTTATCAACGTAACATCGAAGTGACAGAAATGAAGTTGTCCAAGATGAACATACATAGTCATAGGTAATCGTGGACAATATTTTTGCCACGCAGAAGGGTAGCTTAAGCGAGCCTAGTTAGAAGACATGACGCCAGGTTATGAATCCGAAGTAGAGATACGGGGAAGGGGGCTTTGGTTGTAACACGTGTTGTTAACCGGTTCTACCTTAATTGTCTTAAACGGAGACCATCATAATTCTGGCTTTATCTCGCCACGACTCCACCGTCGTTCCAACGGCGCGACATCGGAAACTGCCCTTGCGGGATAATTTCCTAGAACCTACCCTTTTTACTAGTCGCCTTATTTGCGGTAATGGACCACACTCGATAATTGCTCGATCGATTTAATCTACTGTTTAGATGAGAGTTGGAGGAGGTACATTTGTACTGAACCCATATTTTACTTTTCAGATTTGTACACTTTGAAATGGACATATAATTACGAATGTATCATTTGAAACGTGTATGTACGTCCTTGTATATGTATTGACGTAAGAATTTCTGAGCTGAAAATTATTTATGTATATGGTTTATTTATTCTTCTTGGAGCAAAGTTGAACTGCCAAGGTAAAAAATATGGAAGCATTGAAAAATATCAGAGTACAATGCTAAAATAAATAAATAGTTCAGGTAACTGTTCAAAAGTATGAGATTTATTAATAATAAAAAATATGACAGTAATGAAAAATATCAGAGCACAATGCTAAAATAAATAAATAGTTCAGGTGACTGTCCAAAAGTACGAGATTTATTAATATTAAAAAATATGGCAGTAATGAAAAATATCAGAGCACAATGCTAAAATAAATAAATAGTTCAGGTAACTGTTCAAAAGCACAAGATTCATTAATAATAAAAAATATGAAAGTACTGAAAAATATCAAAGTGTAATGGCACAAAAATGAATACTTCAGGCAACTGTTCAAAAGCACAAGATTCATTAATAATAAAAAATATGAAAGTACTGAAAAATATCAAAGAGTAATAGTACAAAAATGAATACTTCAGGCAACTGTTCAAAAGCACAAGATTTAATAATAATAAAAAATATGCAAGTACTGAAAAATATCAAAGAGTAATAGTACAAAAATGAATACTTGAGGCAACTGTTCAAAAGCACAAGATTCATTAATAATAAAAAATATAGAAGTACTGAAAAATATCAAAGTATAATAGCACAAAAATGAATACTTCAGGCAACTGTTCAAAAGTACAAGATTTATTAACAATCTTTTATTAAAGAAGAGTATGTTAACACTTCATGCAGTAATATCTTTAACTGTCCTTAAATTTCTTACTAACACGTAATCAAAGAAAGAGAAACTGAGATAATAAAGTTATCGAGCAAACCGTTTAAGTTCATGGCCACATCCGTTCAGCTTCCCCGTAGGAATATGAAGATCATAAATTAGAACGATGGATTTTTTTCACCTGCTCTTCTTCTCGAGAAAGACCCACATCACGTTTCGTGTATTAATAACTTGGTCGTATCGTCCGTGGGTCGGAATGCGTCGTAAAACGATTGTCATCGTGTGACACGACGAATTCCTTTGCAGCACGCCAAAAATCCCTCGCATCATTGTTGACCTCTGGATGCTACTCTAGTAGCACTGTTTTGACTTCTCTATAGGTCCTTCGTAAAAATCCCCAATGAGCGCCCTTTTTTTCTTATATTATGAGTGTTAGAACATCATAGGTTTTTATACATTTTTGAGATGTTGATGTTCTTGAGTTAATTTTATTCATTTTTTCAATGTTCCTCAGACGTCATCAAAATTTGAAACTTTTAAATATGGAATCATGTTCATTTCACCAAATTGCAGCATCCATGAATTCTTACACCCCCAAATTCCTACGCTATCAAATTTCTAAATTGCCAAATTACCAAATCCCCTAATTTCTAAATTTCGCAATTTCCAACTTCCCCAATTTTCAAGTTCCCAAATTCCAGCACCACCGAATTTTTACACCCCCCAATTTCTACGCTATCAAATTCCTACACCCCCAAATTCCTACGCTACCAAATTTCTAATTTCCCAAATTACCAAATCCCCCAATTTCCAAATTTCTCAATTTCCAACTTCCCCAATTCACATATCCCCAAATTCCAGGACTACCGAATTCCTAC